TTTAGAATTGGAATGTAAACTGACTTTTTCCAATCCTGTGGCCACTGTTGAGTTTTTCAAATTTGCTGGCAAATTGAGTGTAGCACTTTTACTGCATCGTCTTTTAAGATTTTGAATAGCTCAGCTGGAATGCTGACACCTCCACTAGCTTTGTTGTTGCTCAGATTTGCTAGGGCCCATTTAACTTCACATTCCTGGCTCGAGGTCAGTGACCACCCTGTCATGGTTATCAGGGATGCTAAGTTTGTTCTTGTATAGTTCTTCTGTGTAATTTTGCCACCTCTTCTTAATCTCTTCTGCCTGTGTTAGGTCCCTGCCATTATGGTCCTTTATCATGCCCATCTTTGCATGAAACGTTCCCTTCATATCTCCAATTTTCTTGAAGAGATCTCTGGTCCTCCCTATTCTATTGTTTTTTTCTATTTCTTTGCATTGTTCCTTTAAGAAGGCATTCTTATCTCTTCTATCTATTCTCTGGAATTCTGCATTCAATTGAGTGTATCTTTCTCTTTCTCCCTTGCCTTTCACTTCCCTTCTTTACTCAGCTATTTGCAAAGCTTCCTCAGACAGCCAGTTTGCTTTCTTGCATTTCTTTTTCTTTGGGATGGTTTTAGTTGCTACCTTTTGTACAATGTTGCGAACCTTCATCCATAGTTCTTCAGGCACTCTGTCTATCAGATCTAATTCCTTAAATCTATTTGTCACCTCTACTGTATATTCATCAGGAATATGATTTAGTTCATACCTGAGTGGCTTAGTGCTTTTCCCTACTTTCTTCAATTTAAGCCTAAATTTTGCAACAAGAAGCTCATGATCTGAGCCACAGTCAGCTCCTGGTTTTAAGACATGAGAAATGTAAAAGTGTTGGGATGGTCTTTATGAGGAAAAAGACTTAAATACTTAAGTGTAATGAACTTTGAGAAAATTTTAAGTGGTAAGAATGTTCTGAACATTGTGGGGAAAATAAATTTAAATAAGAATTTTGTAAACAGGATCTATGACAAGGCAATCAAGATGATCAGTTAGAAAAGAAGCTTTATATTGATGTGGTTATTATTTTCAGAAATATTAGAAAATGTCTATATTTAATTGTTATTTATCAAAATAATAAGAATTGTATTAATTCAAGGTTGGCAAAAGAGAATATTATTGGAAGAAGAGAAAATCAAGCAAACCTACTATGCAGATTACAGAATTATAGAAATTAATTGTTATTGATTGTTTTTTAAATATAAACCCAGACAACATGCCATTTACCAAATATTAAGATGATTATATTAAAAAATAAGCAAAATATATTTAAAAAGAAAAAAGAAAAAGAAAGCCACTTCCTACCTAGAGGGAGCAATTTGAAAACCTCAGCTGACAGATTCTTTTCCCTGATATTTATTTACTTGCTTATTTAACATGGTATACTGCTGCCCACCAATGCCAATTTTTCAGCTAAAATTACATTTAAAATTTAGAAGCTAAAACTGGTTAAAATGCCACTTCAACAAGCAAGTGACATTAATGACTGATATTACTGAGTATTTATATTATTAAAAGCTTACAAGAAAAATATGTTTTAAAGGATTTTTTAAATAGCTAATAAAGATATTAGGCCCTTCCATTCTTCAGGAAATACAGTCCAAAAATATGCAAAGGCTCGATCCTGATTTGTTTCCTAAAGAATTTTAAAAAGAACTATATAAATCTCCTTCTGAAAGGCTGCCCCATACAGTATAATAAAAAGACCACATTTTTAAAGCCATTATCTTTCAGAACTGGACTCAGCAGCAATATCAACAAAAGCTGATAAAAGGCACTCCAGGCTATTTTCTCAATCTGGTGAAGATCAAGAAAGGTTTGCTCCAGAAGCTTGCCTTTAAACTATGATGTGCTCTTTTTAGGAGAGTATAATCCCTTTCTGAATATGCACATTTACCATGTCTTTGGAAGTCGGACTACTCACAACGAGCACTTCCATCCTGTCTTCCAGTTCATTACTGACTTCAGGCAGACACTGAAGAAAAGTATACAATTTCCTAAAATGTCATAGAGAAATTCATTTGGGTTTTCAATACATTAGCATACTGATACTGCCCAACAAAAAAAATCAGATAATTTTCCCCATTTTCAAGTAGGAATTGAAAAATACAGGAGACAGAGTGGAGTCCTGAGCAAACCGATATAATTATTCTTATTTCAAGGAACAAATATCTACAAATGATACCATCTGAAATATAATTGAAAAATAGAAATGGGAAACCTATACAATCATGCCTTCTGTTTCCAAATATCTTTAGTGATCTAGAAGAATTCCTTCAAATTCCTCTCCTAATAATCTAGGCTGAAATCAGTCTAGGCATAAGAATCTAAGAACTCTGATTAACTATATTTATTAGGAAGTAGATTAAGGTCATTCTAGTGATGACTTTCAAACAAAATAGATCTATATTAACTATCTATGGTAATGAAACTCTTCCCCTTTTCTTCAACCTTTTTTATACAGCTTTTATAAAACAAATAAGACTTGCCTTTTCTATAAAAAGTGAGGCAATCTGTACCTGTTCTTTATTTTAGTAACCATTATTCCTTTTTATAACCTGCCTCCTGGAGCTGTGAATGCTCCAACACTGGAAGTTTTTAAGAAGAAACTGGACAGCCATTTATCTGAAATGGTACAGGGCTTCCTGCCTGAGAAGGGGCTTGGACTAGATGACCTCCAAGGTCCCTTCCAACTTTATTATTATTATTATTATTATTATTATTATTATTATTATTATTATTATTATTATTATTATTATTATTATTATTATTATTATTATTAATCACTGCCATAATTACCATATATTGAAAGCCACTAAGCAGTCCGGGAAAATCAAGAGTGTCACACACCATATTGAAGATCATTCTTCAAGCCAACTAAGATCATCTAAACACCATAGTTCAACCTGAAATGAGTCAAGAAAATCTTTAATGCAGGATTGCCTGCAGGTGAGAAGCTGCCACCATTCTCTCAATCATCTTAAATAATCATCTTAAATAAGAAGGTTAGGTTTGGCCTATAATTCCTTATCTCCAAGTTATCTGGAACAGGCTTCTCCAAAGAGGTTTAAGAATTGCATCCTTTTTAAACAAAGAGCCAAGCTTCCCTCCTTCAGAGGGCAATTTATCATAACTAAGGCATCTGTAATGTCCTTCCAGTTACAACTGACAATGCAAAATATCACAATTTTAAGCTGATATATTGTAACAATACAAGAGTTGTTATTAAATATCATCAAGACTGACTGTTTACAAAGTGGAATTCATTGGCCAAAAGTTTGAGGTACACACATTTAATATTTATCAGTTTTCTCAAACATCTGGAGAAGGAAGGTAAGTTTTTATCATGACAACTGCTTCATGTCCCTTCCCACTTGCCCTCTATTACAAGGAATGCAGCAGCGAGAAACTAAGCCATATCATCCATGATGGATGATTTGTTGTATTTTGAACTGTATTACATAGGAGGAAGACCAGGTTTTTTTGAAGAGCTAGAAACTTTCTAAAAGGTGACAGAGCTACCAGAAGATAAAATATCCCTTAAAGTTCTAATATCTCTTTCCTAATAATGACTTGACAATTTTCAGTACCAATCTGCTATTTCCCATCACTACTGTGATTGCTGCTATAGGTTCCTGTGTCCTCGTTGCAAACTCACTTTATCAACTCAATTAAATATAATCATTGGTCTTTATTTTCCCTGTTGTACATTTTACAGTTGGGGCAATATACAAAATTATAAAATAAATAAAACATGTAAATAGGGAAGAGAATCCTTCTGATAAATTTCTGAACTGTCCTTTGCAACTTTTGTCACCTAACAAGCAGTAACTATGTATACAGAGCAAGTTGCCAATGACATGTTTTAAAATAAATAAAATAATCAGCCTTGCTTCCAGCTGTGTTTTGATTCTCTGGAAAGCAACAGGGAGGTTTTTAACTATAATTTTATTGCAAGTGTTCCAGAAACCAAGAATAAGCTGCATGCTGAGGTGATGGAAACTGAGTGGCTTAAACAATTTTCAGGGAATTTAAAATGCAAGTTCTCTTTTAATACAGCTTATTGTACTTGAAAGATTTCTGTTGTGTTTCACATTGTGGAAGCAAATATTGTAAAAGCCTGTTATGCTCACAAAAAGACAAGTTGCAATTAAGAACTAAGGTTTTACTCTTTTAGATGCTGAGGAATGGTTGCGGCTTATACTCACATTGAGTCAGGACCAAGGACAGCAACATATTCAAGCATAAGCATTATGTTTTGTCCATGAACCTTTGAATATTAACAAGATCATTTGTATGGTTAAGTAACATTATCATGGCTGGAGAAGGGAGTGTATCCTGGATAGCACAAGTTCACTTCAAATGTGCTGAGCAAACCCTACAATTCTCACGTTTAACTTTTGGCTTAGAAAAAATGGCTAGAGTAATATATTTTAGTATAAGCAGAATCTACCAGCATAACAAGTATATACTTACAGTTTGTTGCTACAAAATTTCATTCAGCATGCTGAGCACTGTTCTCTCTCTCTCTCTCTCTCTCTCTCTCTCTCTCTCTCTCTCTCTCTCTCTCTCTCTCTCTCTCTCTCTCGTGGTGATGCTTAGTTGCTTTTCTGCCTGACAGATATAATTCTCACATTACCATTTCATGCCTAAAGTTATGTGCAAAATAACATGGGTTCTTATACTTCTCATCTAATAGTAGTTTAGAAAGATGCCATTTGGAGATCTTTTCACTGACATCTAATTTAGAAAGCGATGAGCTTGATTTGATCTTTGAATGATACTATACTGATCTGATTAGATCTTCTGCAAATATTGTCAACCCCTTTTTTTCCTTCATGAAAATATAATCTTATTTTAGAAACAGAGACAAAAAGGTAGAAAAATGAACTCCTCAGTCACATTGAGACACTTTGGAAAGTACATAAATAGTTAGCAGACATTTAACTTATTTCTCTGACTTGTTCCAGGTGCCACCATAAGTGTGATAATTGACATCAGCATCACCTTTTCAGTTATTATTTCTGCCTCCATTGCCACTCTGTACACCTTAATTGGAGGACTTTATTCAGTAGCTTACACTGATGTGGTCCAGCTGTTCTGCATTTTCTTAGGACTGGTGAGTTTGTATTTACCTTTCCATATGTAATATCAGGTTAATTGTATTCCATACCAAACATAAGAAGAAGATGCTTCATGTCAATACAGATTGCAAGAACATGCTGATTAATGTGTGGAAGAAAGGGAATATTAAAATTCTACATTATCCTTTTCTTAACTATTGTTATAACATAAATAAGTACTAACCATAATTGTGATTTATATTAACTAGAGATCAAATTTGAACATAGATGAGAAATCTTGGATTTGTATCCAAGAAAAGAAGATATGAGAAATGGCCAGGAAGGATGATGGCATAATGATGGTTCTTGATTTGCCAGTATCTCTGAATACCTATCTAGGATTCAAGAACAGAATATGATTGGACTGTCAGTTGGGTTGAATTCTTCACTTCTGGCCACAGAATGTTTTCTGAGGGCAGCATCTTTACTTAAAGGGTGCAAAAAGGCATGTGATATCTGCAGTTCTGTTCTCCAAACCTGCTACTGCTTCTCCCTCTGTTCTTCTCTCTGTTGTGCACACAGTTAATATAGGAAGAGAATGTTTTCATTTAGCTCAAGAGCAGAATTTCCTCCCTTCCACTCCATTGTATCCAGATTATGTCAGTAAGAAAAATTGAAAGCAAAATCCCAGCTGGCAGAGTTCCCTATCAGAGAATATACCTCTCCCAGAAAATAAACTTTTATAGAATGTTTTTTATTTATTTATTATGAAGATTTGTATGGCCACAAACTCACTTACAGTGACTCCAGTGACTTACAGAAGTAGAACCCCCAAATACAAAGCCCAATAAATTCCCACCTCCCAGGCAACAATAATCATTCCCCCAATGTTGGGGGATTGGCACATTTTATTGTTTTATACTTTCCATTTTCTTTTGTTAATCCGTTCCCTCCCTTAATTTCTCTTCCTTATGCTAGGAAAAAACTTGCTGTTGACTTTAACTACACTATCTTAACCTTATGGTTATCTGTTGCCTTATGGATTAGATTTAAGCATGATTGATCAAATGTTTAAGGAGGCCTTTCAATAATAATCTCAAATAGTGAACCTCCATTTAGCATCTATGTACAGCAGCATTAAGGCTGCATGCTGACATTATATCCTGACAAGGATTCTTGAATCCAGTAGAAGAGAATATATTTAGCTCAGGAATGAACTGTGGAGACCTTGATGTTCTTTTAGCTTGGTTGCTTGCTTGCAGTTGCTTCATTACTATAAAAAATTCCCAACAAAATAGATACCCATGCAACTTTATTAAAAAGTGCCTGACCACTCCAACACTATAGCTCACAACACAAGCTATGAAAAGGATAACACTACTATACATCAAAAACATCTCAGAAACAACAGAGTATTACAACCAGGTGGCATTATGGTAGCACACAAACTAAAACTCTCCAAAATATTTTGAGTAAACCAAAAGTCCAGTAATCAAAGAACAAAAGAAACAGGATTCACTTACAACATGAAGTGTAAGGACTATAACAGCCATTATGTAGGATAGACAGACAGAAGACTAGTGGAGCACATCCATGAACACTAACTAACAAGCAGAAGACACAATGAAAATTCCTTAATTTCACAACACATGGGTAGGCTCAACCATAATTTCAACTGGGAAACTGTGAGCATCCTAGACAAAGCTAAATTCAAAAACACTAGGGAATTCCTGGGAGTTTGTCATTCAGACAAATCAGCCATCAATAGACCCATAGAGGTAAATCAATAGACACACAGAGATAAATCACATTTACACACCATTCAAAAAAAGACAATAAAAAGAAGCTAAGAAGGATCCTCTCTACAGTCTACACCAGGCATGTCAAACTCGCGACATCATGTGATGTTGCGTGACATATCACGACTTTTCCCCATTTCCGGCAATGGGGTGTGTGCGGTTTCGGCGTGACGCATCCGTCCCGTGGGCTGGCAGTTTGACATGCCTGATCTACAACCAATAAACAGGGATTAACACTAGGCAAACAATCAAGCAAAAAAAAATACTCTATTTAAGAAACCGCCAAAGAGAAAATCACACTCCACCAACAATGGCAGAGCAAGCTACTGTGTTTAAACAGGGAACAAACCCCACTAGTACTGATGATGTTACCTAGTTGGGTGATGAATCATCTGCAAGCTCAGAGAACACCAAAACTTGGCAAAGATGTGTAGTTGCAAACATTTACTTATTATGCATTTTAAAAGACTTGTCCAGCCACATCAATAAGTGCAATGCAATGGCGACTTTGTATGAGGAGTGTGTGCAAGAGAGTATACTATTCTCCTCACATACTGTTTCCTTTTCATTCTACAGTTCCAATGTGCCTGTACACACATACATATACAAAACTGAATATTGTTATAAAACTGGAGCTCAGCCCTCTGCTTAAGTAGGTTGAGCTTGGTTCACTGATGCTTATTACCAATAAACACAGCTAAGAGCTCCCAGTCCCAAGAACAAGAATCGGTCTATTGAATTCGTTCTGTGCTTCCTAGTACTATGTATTTCTTTTTTTAAGTAAGAGGATATAGTTTCACACCTTTTGTTTCTAAAAAAAGCAGTTTTTATTCTCTGATCCAATTCATTCTAGAAGTAGAATGTGAATTCAAAATAGAAAATAGAATTCTCCTTTCCTTCACAAGAAGATAACGTGAGCAATATGTTTTCATGTAAATAATTTCAGTTGCCTAAAAATTCTGCCAAAAGATTAAAGGAAAGCCAGTTAAATAAAAAAGGATTGTTTAGATTTTAGGTTCCCTAGCCCTTTTCTATTCTCTCACCATCAGAGGCACACAAAGTAGAATCAGAGAGTGAACTTCTGCTACCAGTTCTAAAAATTCCTGCCAAAGAAGATCAGATTAGTTCCATGCCTGTTTTCTTTCAATCTCAAAGAACTTTTTTTTTTAGAAAAATTAAGATATGATTCTGATGTGTAGTCTCATTTGTGTGAAGGATAAAGTTACAGCTAGTGGGTATAAAGTGTTTATTTTCTCTGGATGAATTTCTTTCCATGCATTTAATTTTGAATATATATTGGTATATTTTCATTTTACAGTATTGTTACCAATATTCTCTGAGAAGTTTGGTAGAAAGATGAGAAGAAATGTAGATAAAACCATTTTGGTATTTTCTTGCCTGCAAAAATGTTTTGCAATTAAAAAATGGCAAAATAAAAAGATAAAAACAAAGAAATACTTATGCCATTCTTTTAATATCCGCTTCATTTTTTTAATTTAGTGGATCAGCATCCCATTTGCCTTGTCCCATCCTGCAGTAACAAACATTGGGTACACAGCTGTGCATGAAGTATATCAAAAACCCTGGCTTGGATCCATTAAATCACCTGACGTATACATATGGCTTGACAATTTCTTCTTACTGGTGAGATTTTTGTGAAAGACCACAAACCACTTAAGGTTTATTTTCCAAATTGCAAATTATCTAATGCAGAGAGAAGCAACCTAGATCCCTCCAGATGTTTTGGACATCAGCTCCTATTAGCTCCAACCAGCAAGGAATTGTGTTGGTTGTAGCCCAAAATGATTGAACTATACAATTACATGCCCTAAGCTAAGCAAAATAAGTTTGAACAACTTGCACAAATAACCTTTTAAATTTAACTGTATGCTAAAGATATGTAATTACAGTTATATGACATTGTGAAAAAGCAATGAGCTCTCTGTTGCAAGTATCTTAGGAACTCTTCTAATAGCGAGTATGACAGGATTCAGTAGATCTGCAACAGAAGAGTGACTGGACAGATACATTTATCCAATCTTTTAAATATGTATTTAGGGAAAAAAAGCATTTAAAATCTTGAAGTAGGAAGATATATTTCTGGGTTACAGAGCAGGACAGAAATGTGTGAGGGAGCAGTATGAAACTGATTTAATATATAAAATTCCCAAGACAGTTTCTGAATTCCTTGTACAAAATTAACCAAAAAATGGTGCATCAGCAATTGGTTTTTAACGCCAGTGAATATTTAAAGCCAAATCAGCTTTTCTGTGGATAAACAACTTAACACAACAGCTTCTACACATAGTTATTTCTTGAGATTTGCCAAATCTATCACTGGACATTCCTTTCTGGAACTATTTTCTGCCCAGAAGAAAAGAAACTAAAGAGTGTTTCTCAACCTTGACAACTTTAAGATGTCTCAACTTCAATTCCCAGAATTCTGGGAGTAGAAGTCCACACATCTTAAAGTTGCTGATGTTTAGAAGCACTGAATTAGAGGCAAGCCAAGGGTGATAGAATCGTGAAAAAAATATGCAGCAACTTTTTTATTTCCTGCTGCTTTCTTGAAATGTAATCCAAAGAATAATGGGGTTTGGGGGGAAATCTAGCTTAAGGGGATAATCTTCTTTCTAAATATCATATTCCATACTTTGGTCAGGAAAAAAATGCTTGCAAGGTTTAAAGCCCTGTTTTACTGCTGAAGATATAGGATCCTTTAGATGACTGCTAGGCAAATAGGTTTGATAAATGAGCATGTTGACTAAATGTGTTTTTGCTTGGATTCATGTGAGCATCTGTTTGCCAAGAATGAATGACTGCAATGTTGTTTATGATTATTTGTAGATGTTAGGAGGAATCCCGTGGCAAGCCTATTTCCAGCGAGTCCTTTCTTCTTCATCAGCTACGTATGCACAAATACTCTCTTTTCTGGCAGCTTTTGGGTGTCTTATAATGGCAATACCTCCAGTGCTCATTGGTGCCATTGGTGCATCAACAGGTACATCAACCTAATATTTATCCTAATAACAAATTAATCATTCTGAAGGCTCAAGAAATGAGCCTCTACACCAGGGTGTCAAACTGCTGGCCCGCAGGCCAAATGCATCATGGCAAAACCACGCCCACCCCATTGCTGGCAATGGAAAAAAAGTCATGACACATCATGTGACGTTGCAAGTTTGACAACCCTGCTCTACATATTTTGAAAGTTAATGTCTAACAATAGATGAATATCCAAAGTAGTGTTATCTCAAAGCTGTAGTAACTTACAATGTTTGTAATATATCAATGCTATTTTTTTCATTATGGTATAGTTCCCAATAGTATTAAAACAAACATACAAACAAACGAGAATGGAATTCAGTTTGGAAAGGCCATTTGGGCAACCGATTATAACCATGGGTTCAGTGTGTGAATACAAATGGAAGCATTCTTCACAGGTTTGTAGTTCTGCTAAGGCAGGTGCAGGAAAGGGGAGGTTATGTGGTTCCATCATTGAACTGCCCTTAATATTATTCCTATCCTTCAATCAAAATCTGATCAGGGAATTCTGGAAGTTAAAGTTCACACACCTTGAAGTTGCTACAAAGGAGTAATATTGCTCTAAATAATTACCTGTGAAAGGAGTGAGGTAGGTACTGAACAAGTGAATGGGAGGAGCTGTGGATGGTAGCAAACATGTCACTGTAAAGCATGGGTGCCTTTGATTAGCTTGTAAACAAGCTCTTCCTTGGGAGGAGCTAAATGCCTGGTTAATTTAGCCCTCCTCTCTTTTCTATATAGTTAGCTAGTTTCTGATCCCTTCAGTATCCAATTTTGTTTACTGTTACTCTTTCCATTTCTTCTATCTCAATATACTATCTCCCCTCACCTATCACCAGCCTTTTCTCCCCTTTGTTCCTATTTCTGGTGGAAGTGGAAAAGGAGATAGAGAGATAGCAAGAAAGAGATAGAGATTTGGATCTTTGCAGATGAGGAAAAATAGTTTTATGATTAATATAGTTGAGATACCTTGTTTTATAGGCAATTCTGAGTCATTGAATTTTAGACATTTTCAAACCGAAGTACATAAGGACCATGAGATAATTTCTGCAGATACCCCATATCATTCTTTCTTTAATCCAGTCTCAAGGAATCCCTGTTCACAACTATCTTTTGGTCTGTGAGGAAAACTATGATAGAATCTAATGTAGCTTTTATTAGGAGCAAGATGGAAGCCAAGAGTTTGACCTCCCTCTTGCATAATAAAGTCTGAATCCTGATATCGCTTGAGTTTTTTCTATTTAAATTTTAATTGTATAATGTATAGTTTGACCTTTATGAAACATGAATTAAATGCTCAGCCTGAAACCTTTTAAAGTCTACTAGATTTCACAACTGCAAATTTGGCATAATACTAGCCAAATTCGGCATCTAAATCATAAATTTAAATCTAATGAAGACATACTTTGTAACACATGACTATGAATATTTGGATAGACCAGCAAACCAGAGCAGACCATAGAATCCAGCAATTAAATCCATTTTTTTAAGTTTTAAAAAGTCTGTTTTTAGTTGTTGAAGCTTGGTTTCTTTTTTCAGGTACAGGTCTATCCACTAGTAATTAGTGTATGTTTATGTTACAGATTGGAACCAGACTGAATATTTTGGTCAAGACCCCAAAACTCAAAATAAAAGTGACATGATATTACCAATCGTCCTTCAATATCTTTGTCCAGTGTACGTTTCATTCTTCGGCCTTGGGGCAGTGTCTGCTGCTGTAATGTCCTCTGCTGACTCTTCCATTTTATCAGCAAGTTCTATGTTTGCACGGAATATATACCAGCTTTCATTTCGGCAAACTGTAAGACTATATTATAAACAGTATCACTTTGTAATGTCATAAGAACTGTAGTTGACAGACGATACTTTACTGTATTAGGAATGAGAGAGTACCTTGAACCATTTTGTGTTCAATCTATGATAATTATTGAGCAGTGGAGGAATTATGTTCTGATGTTCTCAAACCTTTGGATGTTCTAGAAGGAAAAGTCTTCCATAGTTTTTAATCTGCAAAGCTTAAAGGGAATTGTAACCATATACCTTATGCTATATTCAAATGCTTGAATATTGTGAATAAAGATTTTCTGGTTCATATTAAGTTAGGATTGCAGTAATCTCTTAAAATTGAGCAAATGATTTGTACAGGCAGATCTTTTCAATTAACTCTCATTGTATATTGTGAGATAGGAAAATATGCCCCAAAGAAGTGGCCTTTGCCTGAAAAATTAAATTATGAATAACTGAGTAGGCAACTATGAATTAAGTGAAACATAGCCAGGTGAAGAATTCCTTAAGTAGAAGGCATAATATTGAGATTTAAATTTACAGTATTTTGGCTTTATGACCAAGAAAAGAATTGCAAAGTGGAAACTTTTCCATATCTGGATAACTTGCACTAAATGCAATGTTACCATTTATGAAAATACAGCATTTAAAACAAAATTTTAAAAGTGCCTTTTTTGACCTTATTGCAGCTGAAAACAATTCTCCTGCACGGAAACGGCATTGGTCATGCTGGTGAATGATCTCTGGAGGGCCCGGGACAGGGGTTATTCCTCTGTCCTAGTTCTTTTGGACCTCTCAGCGGCTTTTGATACCGTGGACCACGGTATCATGCTGCGGCGCCTGGGTGAGTTGGGAGTGGGAGGCACTGTTATGCGGTGGTTCTCCTCCTTCCTCACCGACCGCACGCAGTCTGTATTGGCAGGGGGACAGAGGTCGACCCCAAGGCCCCTAACTTGTGGGGTGCCACAAGGGTCGGTCCTCTCTCCCCTTTTGTTCAATATTTATGTGAAGCCGCTGGGGGAGATCATTCATGGCTTTGGGGTGGACTTCCATCAGTACGCTGATGATACTCAGCTGTACATTTCCACCCCAGGCCACCCCAAT